AGCTCTTTAGTACCTGCACCTCCCGCGCAACGATGCAGCCATGGCATCGCATCGTGTCCGGACAGCGTCCAAACGTGCACATATCTGTTCTAGACTCAAGCTGACATGATTTAACTAGTTTCGGAACAGGGATCGGTCCAACAGGTCAGGACGCGGCCAGATAGAGCACAATGTGCTGGAAGGATTGCCCATTAGTCAGTATCGGGAAGCTGAAATCACCATTGAGCCAAACTCGGCCGACAACAAGCCTTTGGACAAAGATGCTTGGCCCGAGCTGCCCATGCCTCGAGATTCTCACATGTTGCCTGAGCATTCTCAGCAATTGCTGCGAGCAGCACGCTCCGGGAAGTTGTACAAACCACCGGCTCCCCCAGAAGACGACAACGAGATGAAAGACGAGGAAGAAGAGACTAAAGAGATCCGTACCGGCTTCACTATCAAGAAGTACGTCAAAGTTGCACGGCATCTAGAAGTTTCGGAACCAGAGTATCTCGCAAAGAGAAGGAAAGGTCTCCCATCACCATACGTCAATGGTCAGGTTGCGCAACCTGCGTTGCGGGAAACCAAGGTTAAGAAACTTGATGCGGATGGCAACGTGGCTGTTTACAAGGTACTCGTACCAGAAGGACAGGCTGTAGAAGGCGAAGTCCAGCCTGAAGATGCTGCAATTGAAGTTGCGCCAGCTACTGCGGCACCGGGAACAATCGTCGAGGGAGTCGGTGTTGTGAATGCAGAAGGTGTCGTCGTAGCTAATGACATCCTACAACAAACGCCACCTCGGCGGAGGCCGCCACCTCCTAAGAAGAAGGTCAAGCGTGGGGGCCCAGGCAGAGGCAAGAAGAAGGTCGTCTTTGTCGAAGGAGCAGAGCAAGGGACGCCAGCATCAACTGCCGGCGGTGACATGCTGGGTGTACCAGGCGTCAAACAAGAGGACGGATCGGTAGCTCCGTCAGATGGAGGTGATACGCCAATGGCAGACGCCGGTGGCGAGGAAGAAGAGGGGTCTGGCGAGGAGGGCTCGGAAGATGAAGATCAAGACATGGAGCATACCTCCAACCCAGCGACCCCTCAGGCGTCCTCTGTAGTCCCACCCAGTGCTCCAGCGACCGAAGCCCCCAATTTTGCGGACGCTACATTGACAGAGAGCACCGCGCTAGCAAGCCATCCGCCGCCGGCTTCCAACGAGCCCTCTCAAGATACCGCAACGATCGAGAGGACCGCAATCGAAACCGCTCCAATCGACACGTCGCTGCAGACGCCGAAACGTGACCAGTCAAGCTCACCTGATCTGCCGCTTTCTGCCGTCTCCCATAGTCGCCAGAATTCCATGAACCAGATCTCGACTTCTACTACTACCACAGAAGCCATCGTTCCCGAGGAGGCTCCAAGCGAGGTTCCAGTCCCAGCTCCATCAATGGAAGTGGAAGTGGAAGTGGACGCGGCACCAGCGCCTGTGGTCGTCCCGGAGCCCCAGCCCCAGCCTGAGCCTGTAGTTGAGGCCGAACCCAAACTTGAGGCTGAGCCTGTGCAACCTCAATCAGCTGCTCCTTCTGCACCAACTTCGGAACCAGACCTCATGGGAAGTCTGGAGAGGCAGCTTGAAGAACACGACAAGGACATGGCAGAGTCGTAGAATGGCAAAGCCCAATCCTCCCTCCCTCTACGAGCTTGTTACACATGCTGTATATTGGAATGGACGAATCGCGCACCTTTTGACGCAGCCGTCGGTCATTGTCGCCACATGCGAGGAGTTTGAAATGTACGCATTCTTGGTTTAGAAGAAGGGTTTCGTGTGGCGTTGTGCACATCATTGTATTATTATCAACGAACGTATCACTTTCCAGCTTACTCACATCAATAAACGCACTTTTAACCCACGGCTCCTCTTATCGGCCTCGTATGGTCTTGCGCTGCTGCCGGCGGTATCGGCGTCGGAATCAACTACGCTACCCCACAACCCAACGCACGCTCATACGTCATCCTCGACTTTCCCCGTCGGGAACCGCATTTGTCAGAACAACACTAATCCAGCATGGGTATCACGACGGGAAATGCTAACGCGACAAAGGCAGGTCGTTTACCGAGCTATCTACCGTAAGACTGGACGTATATATCAGCGACCGACTACAGATCATTTGCAATTCAGCCACCCATTCTTGTAAACGCCGTAAGAGCATTGACGCAGAATATGCCTTCCATAAGTGAGATTGTCAAGGCACATCAGCCAGACTTGGCTTCATATGAAGAGCTCTGTGAGTGATCATTGTAATCTATTGATTTCATCGCTAATGAAGTCGTAGACAAGTGGTTCCACACGCACCCGGAGCTGTCCTTTCAGGAAGCCAAGACAGCGGAAGCGATTGTCAAACATCTCGAGACCTTCAAAGCTTTCACAATTCATTCTTCCATCGGCGGCCACGGCGTCGCTGCCACATTCTCCAATGGCCCCGGAAAGACCCTTCTCTTACGTGCTGACATTGACGCGCTACCCGTGGAAGAGAAGACAGACCTGAACTATGCCAGTACAGCGCGTATGAAGGATGTGGACGATGTTGAGAAGCCCGTGATGCATGCCTGTGGCCATGACATGCATATTACCGCGCTGCTTGCGGCGGCGGAAACTCTGGTCAAATGTAAAGAGGCATGGAGCGGGGAGTTGATCTTGGTGTTCCAGCCAGCGGAAGAAAGAGCAGGTGGCGCGCAGAACATGGTGGATGATGGTCTGTATAACAAAGTCAAAGAGCCGGATGTCGTGGTGGGTGCACATGTCATGCCGGAAAGAGCCGGTGTTATTGGTACGAAGCATGGTTTAATCGCCAGCTCGGCTGATCGATTCCAGTAAATCCGCCCTTCTTCTTGACTCCTCATTCAAACTAATCCCTGTAGACTTCGCATCGAAGGTCGACAAGCCCACGCATCTACACCCCATCGCGGCATCGACCCCATCCTACAAGCCGCATCCACGATAATGCGTCTGCAATCCATCGTCGCGCGAGAAGTAGACCCCCTAGACTTTGCCGTGGTAACAGTCTCCGCCTTCCACGCAGGCGACGCCGAGAACATCATCCCCTCGGAAGCCAACCTGAAGATCGACGTCCGCGCAGCTCTACCCCAAACCCGCGAACGCGTCCTCGCTAGCGTAAAACGTATCATCGCCGCCGAGGCCGAAGCATCCAACAACCCAAACACTCCTACCCTGACACCAACAACACAGTTCCCCTTGCTCTTCAACGACGCTGACGTTACCAACGCGCTTGAGCAGTCTTTCTCATCGCACTTTCAGCCTGGAAAGCATTCGTATCAATCGGACATTGCGCGTCTACAGGGTTCAGAAGACTTTGGTATCCTCGCTACTGCGATTGGCAAGCCGAGTTGCTTTTTCCTGTATGGAGGGACGGATCCTGCGGTTTGGGATAAGGCGGAGAAGGAAGGGAGGCTGAGTGAGGATGTTCCTGGAAATCATAGTCCCTTCTTTGCGCCGGTTGTGCAGCCTACGTTGACGGTGGGCATGGAGGGGTATGTTGTTGCTGCTTTGACGTTCTTGAAGAAGGGCGAGTAGTTGGTCGTCTGATTTCCAAGTTCATTTTGCTATGGGGTTTTGCAAGAGCTGCAGGTATGCGGCGTGGTATATTCTTTAGCGGCTAGTAATAATCGCTGCCTGTACCCCGCATCCGCTCGCTGTTTCGACATCCAAACGTGCTGAAGGCTAGGTTTTCATCTTCCGTTACAACTTGAGACGTAATACCCCTATCATCTGTTTTCCAGCCGAAAAGGCCTAAGAGATCGGTCACGGGCTTACCTTGGGCTTCTCTGACATGTGTTAGACCTCGAATTAGTACTTGTTCGGACTAGTGCGGCCTGCGTTCGGAAGCATGGAAGGCGCGGACGACGTCAGTCACTGCTTCAAGCACGAACCTCTGGACACTCGAAGGCAGCAAATTCGACTGGTCTGCATTACTCCCGCGTCTTCTGGCGATATCAAATGCCAGCTCAGAAATGCCTACCTCGAAGACGACAGAACACCCGACTATCGAGCGGTTTCGTATGAATGGGGGCCAAGCTCACCGCTTCGGCGCATCTACATCGACGGTCAGCCTTTGAAAGTACGTCAAAATCTGTATGCATTCCTCGAAACTTTCAGGACGAGACTCTTCAAGTTCCAAAGTAACGGTCTATACGAGGCCGAGACACAATGGTTATGGATCGATCAGGTCTGCATCAATCAAACGGTGATCACCGAACGCAACCATCAGGTAAGGCTGATGTCCGAGATCTATAGTCGGGCCGCCTACGTTTACGTGTGGCTCGGGCCATGTCATTCCGAGGTTGAAGCGGCGATGACGGTGTTGAAGTCCGGTCTCAGGCGGTACTACGAAGATAGAACCACGCTGTCGCCTACGAAAGGACCAAGGCGGCGTCGGATCTCTGGAACCGAGGAGCAATGCGATCCCAACAAGAAACCCTACTCTGAGCCAAAGTCAAGTAGCTTGCCGGCCGCCGCACTCAGATGCTTCTTTCTCAATACCTACTGGAAAAGACTTTGGATTGTACAAGAGATCATGCTAGCCCGATATATCCGGATCATGTGCGGAGAGACTATACTTTCATGGGAAGAGCTGAGGCGATTTTGTCTCTCAAGTTCATCTCCACTGCTGGCACAGGTTCGGTACTGTATACCGCAACAGGTGATATGGCTGGTCGAACACGCGCTCTCGGCAAAGAAGTACACTTACACGAGTCTGCTTGCGACCTTCAGTAAAAGCGATTGCCACGACCCAAAAGACAAAGTATATGGGTTGCAAGGTCTGGTCGCGCCCCGCTCGAGAGTGGTAGTCAACTACGCTAAAAGCATGCAACGAGTGTTTCTAGATGCTGTGGGCTTACTCTATGGACGCGACGGACAGGTAACTGAAGTCGAGATTGGAGGCGGTCTTGAAAAGATTGACTACAGTGACCCGGCAGAGACCATGCTCCAAGCTTCCTCTATCTTGCACGCACAGATGGAGGTAAGCACCCGAATTCCACTGGTGACTGCGCTTGTGGAACTGGGTAATCAGATGGGATTCCCGTTGGTGCGGATGTATGCGACTTGCATAGGCGGAGCCATCCAAAAACGAACAAAGTCTCTATGGTCCCAGCTCATCAAATACTACCTCCAAGAACGTTTACCGACGCTCTATATACGAAGGCAATTCGTGTATGACGAGAAAGAGTTCCACGATAGGACCTACGATCCGACTGGATTGATCAGAGACTTGTGGGAAGCATACGAAGAGTTGGAATATGTCCACACTCGTTTCCTCCATTGGATTAAATGTGATAACCACCCCGAGCAATACGTAAGTTAACGACGACGACGAGATTAATCCAAGAGACTAAACAGGTCGCAGATATACGACCGCATGTATGAAGATCATCGCGAGTGGAAAACTGTGAGTACATATCTGCGCAGTGTCTGGGAAGCCTCAAAGGTACACAGGCTAACTTATCGTATCAGCGTCAAGCTACTGGATATCTGCATCGTCGTGTTGACGCTGTGGTAGAACCTATTCGTTTTTTTAGTGAGCGTCATACCACATATAGGACCGATCTAGAGATTGCTTTAGAGAAGATTGCCTTCAAGATAGCCGCAACTACTTACAACGCGACTCTGGTGTAGGAGCACCGCGACAAGCCGCAGAATCCGTCAGCCCTTTGGTCATAGCAACCGAACCTTTGCAATCAAAGTTCGTGTTCGTTCCTCAAGCTGTCTCGCACATTGAAGCAGCGGGCCACCTGGCGTACCTCCCAGAGCTCTCCATGACCTCTCGGATCCAACGCACTACCGTTATAATGAGTTAAGCTTGCTTCACCTTCACATACGACCATAGGACAATGAGAATTAGGCTTCCCGTCCGCTCAGCCATATACAAGCATTGTACCGGCAGATTAGTAGTTAGGTGGGTGACTGTTGTATGTTTTTGCCATCTTTTTTTGAAGATAGTTTTTTGCTCGAACGACGTCTCCAAGATGAGAAAACGCCTGCAGTTAAGGAAGACAAGTATGATGGGTGCGTACGACGATGGAAGCGAGGGCCAGATGCAGGGCATACTAGCGAAACGACCTGGCAAGGGAATATGAGTCGCATAGATCGTTGCGATCTTTTTGGCATTAAGTACGGCGGTGTGGAGCTTACAAGTTTCATTCCTGTAATTCAATGCGACCATCGTCGTATTCCTACTATCTGTGACCAGGAAGCTCATAGAGCGGTGGCGCGCCCTGCAACTCGGAAGGCGGCGCAAAGACCTCATGCGCTGCATGATAACCAGACTGCTTTTGAGCAGGGGCATTATCGACGTAAGACACTGCGGATACTGGCGCAGGAGTTGAAGCAGTCTTGTCTTTCCGGCGTTTTCGAAGGCAGAACACCACTCCCACAGTGATGAGGATTGCCGCGACCACGAGCCCGACCGTCAGACCGATTATAGTGTTCTTGCCGATACCCTTGTCTTCCGTGTCTTTTACTCCATCTGAGGCCACTGTTGTCAGGGTGTCTGTTGATGATGTGGTCGACGAGGGACTTGTTGACGATGTTGTTGGTGGCGAAGAAACCGGGTCTAGCGTGACCGATGAAGTCGATGACGACAAGGACGAAGACGAAGACGAAACTGCTTCCGATTCGCTTGCGACACCAGTCCGTTTGATGTACCAGCTAGTACTCCAAAAGCCGTATATTCTTTGCTCCTCGTCGGTGCCCTGGGCATTGACGACTCTAAAGACGAAGGGGTTTGTCAGGTTGGTCTCTTCCGCGCGTACCTCCCATTGGTACCATTGACTTGCTAGATTGACTAAAGTCTCATTAGTACTTTATGTGATAATGAAGAAGCATGATTCCTCACCAGCGAGCTGCACCGAATTCGCGACCTTGCCTCTTTGGTAAAAGTATAAATTGATGTTTTCGTACGTGGTCGACCATGATATATTGATGCTGGAGCCTTCGCGGAAATCGATCGGGTACGTTACTGGGAAGATGAATCCGCCGTCGCCTGAGTCCTGAGGCTCTGTCCAGATTCTTCCTTCTTCTTCCTGTCTCGGCGAGACATGAGAGGCGAGTAACGTCGAGCTCATGACCCACAGCCTGACGATGAGTCTCCACATAGTTATCTGATACTATGGCAAAAGGGCTGATGGTATGAAAGCGAAAACAAGGGGACACATAGCGGAAGAGTGCTCTGCACATACGCCTTTGGTTACACCGAGAGCCTAGAGGCGGGAGCCCTCCACCACGCCGCGCCGGTTAAGTGCGCATATCTCCTAGTTTAGTTGTTGAATCCCGTAGGACGGGTGAGCGGTTGGCTGAGATGCATTGTCTGAAGCAAGACGATAATGATGCAGGTCCTTGTCTGCTTTCGCCTACTCGGTTCCCGCCAATCACCGTTCTGCCCAAACGCCACTGTCTCTGCTGTGCCACTTACTGCTCACTCTCAATTTCGCTACTTCCTTTTCGTCTGGAAAGCCATTCAGATCGAATGGTATCGGGGGAAGAAGGCCAGCGGTTACTTGTCTGTTGAAATAACGCCAGCGTAGTTGTCCTTCTTTGAGAAGGGCACCGGAGATGCGTGTGGGTTGGCTTTCGAGTGTGACGCAGCGATTGATTGCATCGGAATGGAGGACCAGAAGCTGACAAGGATTATCAGCGCTAAGCGCCGGGCGGGAAGCTCATACTGACACGCAGAGCTGCGGATTGAAGGGGCAAACCCCAATAAAGTCGACTGAGCTTGTTCCTTCCAACGAGCCCCAATGTACTTGCGTTGAGTGAATGACAATGGCTGCAGGTAGGTCCTGGGGCAACTTCCGACGCAGATATCGAACTGCTGTTGCCGCCTTGCTCATCTGTGGCTTCTTCATACGCTCATATCGAAGATCGACACCCAGCGCCAGTATATTCAGCCAGCATCAGACCCCACTGTACTGTCCTCAGAACGCCATCGCGAAAGAAGTATTGGTCGTCCTTCGCACAGGTGCCACCGAGGTACTCGAGAAGCTGCCGGTCCATCTCACTACCGTGTTGCGATGCATTCCAAACTACGCCATTTATTCCGACTTTGAAGAAGAATTTGGGGGACATCATATTCACGACGTTTTCGACCAGCTCGACCAGGATCTAAAAGACTCGGTGCCAGACTTTAAGCTTTACCACCAGCTAAAAACCAAAGGCCGAGATGGTCTCTCCATGGACGGTATCGCACACGATGGAAGTGGCGCATCGGGGTCGCTAAGCAACCCTGGCTGGAAACTCGACAAGTTCAAGTTCCTGCCTATGATAGATAAAGCTCTCCGCCAGATGCCGCAAGCAAAGTGGTTCGTCTTCGTTGAACTTGACACGTACCTGATGTGGACCAACCTGCTCGACTATCTGTCCCAGTTCGATGCAGAGGCCTCGCATTACATCGGCAAGCAAATGTATATTGGCGACGTGCTTTTTGCTCACGGCGGCTCGGGGTTTGTTCTGTCGGCACCAGCAATGAGGAAGGTGATCCATCATTGGAAATCGCATATGAAAGATTTGAATCAGTACACGATTGAGCAGTGGGCTGGAGATATGGTGCTCGGAAAAGCGTTGAAGGATGCTCAAGTGTCACTGCTGTGGGCGTTTCCTCACTTCCAGGGTGATCCCGTTTCAACGCTCGACCACAACATTACCAAGATCAACAGACAGCCGTGGTGCTATGCCGCGATTACATACCATCATATGCCAGAGAATGAGATCCGGTCTCTTTCGGAATTCGAACAAGAGTGGTATCGTAGGCGTCCAAGGAGCGCTCCTCTGAGGCATGCCGATGTGTTCAAGGGATATATATACCCTAGTCTGAGCAGGGAAAGATCAGAATGGGACAGTTATTCCGTCGATAAGGCCTTCAGCAATGAGGTTTTGAAAGGCGAGGAGGTGCACAGCTCTTTCGAAGCTTGCAAATCGGCATGCGAAAGGAACATCCGCTGCCTGCAGTTCTCCTACCGCCCTTCCAGGTGTCTTGTGTCGCGTGAAGTGCGCTTGGGTCGAGCGTCGACATTACAATGCTCAGAGTATTCCACTGCCGCTTCGAGGTGTGAAAAGATGGAGGAGCCGGTGGCGGGAGGTCTGGTTCGTTCTGGTTGGATCGTGGACAGGCTTGAAGAGTACATGCGTACTATGGATCAGACGTGCGATGATCGGATAGGCTGGATTACTTAGAAGTCATACAAATCGAACGAATCTTGTAGTTGCGTTGATTGCGGTGGTGGAGCGTTGGTGTCTGATGGCTGGCGATCGTCATGCCGCTGGACCCTTGCTTAGGCAGAGGTTAGCTCCAAACGACGTAACCTGCCGCTCCAACAATCACTTGCAGACCACACACGGCTGCCTAGATATTGCAAGTAGCTGTCGATACCTACACCCAGTTCCAGCAAGCCATCTCCGTCGCTTCCCCATACGCTCTCCCCTCACGCGCCATGACTGAGCCAACTCCTGCCCCGCACAGCGAGCGCGACCCCGCGGCGGCGACCGACGCGAACGAAACACGCGACGAAGAGATAGACGACCACAAGCCACGCGACAGCAACGGCTGGGACGGGAAGTTGCGGATAGACAAGATGAGCATTGCCGACGAACCCGGCGACCCACATGCGCAGGTTGTGAGCGACCCAGAAGTATCAGACGACGAGGGCCCGCCTCCCGAGCAGCTGGCTGCAGACGAGGATTTGCTCGACGATACACCGGAAGACGAGGACGACATAGAGATCGTGCACTCCAAAGTCGCTGACATGTCGGCGTTACGGTTGGAGAGGTTCAAGCAGATGAAGGTACGCTATGCTGTGGGTTGTAGATGAGTTTGCCTAACCTCCCAGCGTCTCTGCCTGCGCCAAAACCGCATAGAAAGCATCGCGATACCCGACGAAGTCGCGCCGACCCTCACAGAAGTTGATCTCTACGACAACCTCATAGCGCACATTAAAGGCCTCGATGCTTTCACCGAACTCACCTCGCTCGACCTCTCCTTCAACAAGATCAAGCACATCAAACGCCTGAACCACATGACAAAGCTCAAGGATCTGTACTTTGTGCAGAACAAGATTAGCAAGATAGAAAACCTAGACGGGCTTTCCAACCTGCGGCAGATCGAGCTCGGGGCGAACAGGGTACGCGAGATTGAAGGACTGGAAACGCTGACGGGCTTGGAAGAGCTATGGTTGGGCAAGAACAAGATCACCGAGATCAAAGGCCTGGACACCCTCACCAATCTCAAGATTCTCAGCATTCAGTCGAATCGCCTGCGCTCGATAACGGGTCTGGAGAAGCTCGTCAACCTCGAAGAACTGCACATCTCGCACAACCTCCTCACAGAACTGTCAGGTCTGGAGAACAACGTCAACCTGAACGTCATCGACATCAGCGCGAACCCGATCGAACATCTATCGGGACTGAATGGTCTCAAGCACCTCACTGAGTTCTGGGCAAGTAACTGCAAGTTGAGCGACTTTGGAGAGGTCGAGAAGGAGTTGAGAGATAAGGAAGAGCTGGAGACGGTCTACTTCGAGGGCAACCCTCTTCAACGGGCACAACCGGCGCTATACAGGAACAAGATTCGGTTAGCGTTACCCCAGGTTGTACAGATCGATGCCAGTAAGTTCAAACCCCTCAACATCTCAGAACAGACGTTAACTTTCTACCAGCATTCGTGAAGCAAGTATAGGCGACCAAGCGGGAACGAGGATCAAACTGCAGAGGTGAACAAGGCATTTACACGGCGCACTAGGAAGAAGCTGCAGGCGTTCAGGCAAGCATACATCTAGCGTGGCGATATGGTGGTGATACCCTATGAATGCATGGTATTGTTGGCTATAACCGAGGCTTGTACTTATGATGTGAACTAATAAATCCAGTCCATGTCTTGCTGGTCTCGGATCTCAAGCCGTGACCACAGCCAGATAAACATGAGGTCTGCAGCATTCCCATCAACCGTATTCTACCCGCGCCGCACCGTGCCGCCCCCGGTTTCGACGCTAATACTTTATCCGCTGTATAGGAATCCTTCGGTCCTGCATACAGTGGGTCTCCTTTTCGCGGAGACAATACCCCATCTAGCTCCAGTCCAACGGCTTTCACATCGCCGAGCTTGCTTCGCTCAAGGGTTCATGCCGTGCTTTCGGGATGTTTCGAGAGGCGTGTTGGCTGTGGATGCAACCGAACCGCGGCGAGCGTTATCCAAGACTTGGCTTGCGCTGCACGAACAAGGTCATTTGGATGCGGAAAATGGGTACCTCTGTCTGGAGATGCAAGTCAACTTCGAGTGGGTGACAGCTCGGTAATCAAGTGGGTGGCAAGCTCCACTCGTACAGTGGCTACTCTATTCATCGAGGTGTACTTGCAATCGATGTTCCTACATACTCTCGATTCGATATACGGATCCTTATCGCGGCTTGATTCCTGGAATCATGGTTTTCTTATGCGTTGGCGTGCTCTTTGTAGCCTCCGCCGCCGCCAGATTCCAGCCTCGTTCTGCGGAACCCCCCATGCGTCTTGCCGATCGCCAGTCAGGCAACGTTGCGAACATCAAGCAGATAGCTGATGGAGCAATTCCCCGTTTCGAATGGGAACAATCATTCTTGACGGATGCGACCCTTAAGGAAGCATTGACCTCGGTATCAGCCGACGCAAGGTCGCTTTTCCAGTTTGCTGCGCACAATATTGCCAGCGACTCTGTCCCTAAGACAGAGAGTACTTTCAACGGCCGCGAATGCAAGGTCTTCCCTGGCGATGAAGATTGGCCGGCGGACGCGAGCTGGTCGGCGCTCAACGATATCACCAACGGTGCTCTACTGAAGCCTCTCCCCCAAGCACATGTCTGCTACAACACTAGCCTGGCTGGTGCAGACCAGAGCGCTTGCGATGCCATGACCAAGTCGTGGACTGATCCGTTTTCCCAGTGTGTAGCCTTTGAAGATTGCCTCCTCATAGCCATCGACTAACGTATATGAACAGGCTCGACGACCCACTTGAGATGCTAAGTCCGATGTACCAAGGCAGTACATGCCAACCACCTCAGCTCTACGATAGTAAGGAGTGCACCCAAGGAGGATACTCTCTCTACGTTGTAAATGCCTCGACTACCGCTCAGATCCAGCTGGCGCTTAACTTCGCGCGGAACACGGGCGTTCGCTTTGTAGTCCGAAATACAGGTCACGATTTTGCTGCAAGTGCTTCATCCATACCCAATCTTCCAATCGCTGATAGCTCTTAGGGCAAGAGCGGTGGTGCTGGCTCTCTTAGCGTATGGACTCATGGATTGAAAGACATTGCATTCATCGAGAACTACGAGTCTGAAGACTACACTGGACCGGCTATGAAGGCTGGCTCAGGTGCGCAAGGCTTTGAGCTTTACGCTGCTGCGAGAGATTTCGGTGGCACAGTCCTTGGCGGTGAATGTCAGTATCTACTATCTCGACATGTCTTGGGATATACACTGACTTTGCTTGTTACATAGGCCCTACGGTTGGCGCAATGGGCGGGTGGATCCAAGGTGGCGGCCACTCACCACTATCTGGCCACCTGGGCTTAGGCGCTGATCATGTGCTTTCCATGGAGGTCGTCTTAGCAGACGGTCGCTACGTGACTGCTGACAAAAACAACAACCCCGAGCTGTTCTGGTCATTACGCGGTGGTGGCGGTCTGACTTTCGGTGTCGTAACCTCCGTCACCGTCAAGGTACATCCAGACCAACCCATTGCCTCCGCCAACTGGGTTGTCACCACAGGCAAGAACGTCAGCACCGAAGCCTTCAAGCAAGGACTCAAAGCCTACATGAAATATTTCCCACAGAACGCCGATAACAACACTTATGCCTATTGGAAAGTTTTCCCGGGCCCCGATTCCATCATGATGGATATGTCGCCTTTCTTCGCTCCCGGCAAAACCGTCGAAGAAGCCAAAGCTCTGGTCGACCCTTGGGTAAAAGACATGACCGCACTTGGGATCGCTGTCGAGCCCGAATGGACGCAGTACAACGGCTTCTACGACGCGTACAACGGCTCTTTCCCCGTGGAGGCTGTTAATAGCAACGGTGTAGCCACTACCTCGCGCATGATCCCACGTTCCAACTGGGCCAACGAATCCATCTTCAACGAGACTTTCGAAGCCCTCTGGCAAGCCGTCGACGAAGGTATGGCGCTGATCGGCTACAACATGGCGCCATCATGGGAGAAAGGCGGACGCCCTGACAACTCTGTCAATCCAGCTTGGAGAGACATGCTCGGTTTCATCATCACCGGGACTGTGCTGAACATGACGAATCCAGCTGCGGAGATTGTCGAGGAGCGCCTCAACATGACCTATGGCGTTATGCAGAAGTGGCGCGATCTCACGCCCGGCTCCGGTTCGTACCTCTCCGAGGGAGACCGCCTTGAGCCCAACTTTCAGTGGTCGTTTTGGGGTAGCTTCTACCCGCGTCTCTTGGAGGCGAAGCGCAAGTATGATCCTTTTAATCTCTTCTGGGCTACTGGGGCAGTGGGCAGTGAGTTCTTCAATGTGCGTAGCATTGACGGTTTGCCGAATGAGAATGGGAGGCTTTGTGTTAATCCGAAACCAACGCTCTACCAGGCTGAGGGTCCTGACTGGGTTCCAGAGTAGATGGATGGTGTTATGGCGACCATATGTGTATAGATCCGAGATTAAGGGGTTCTCGGTTTATGTTAATAGGAAATCTCATCAAGGCGGATCAGCCGATGTGCGCCCAAAGGAGTTGGACACATTGCATTGCTTTTTTTCTTGGCAACGAAGTAAATTACTAGCGTCGATGAGGTGAAAGGTATCGTCTTGATAATGATGGTCTACATTGAGAGCATCGTCTCTTATACTGTCTAGGTATCATATGCACATGCCACGTCAACCTCGTCCAGGGCCAGTAAATGCTTCTCCCATAAATACATAACCTGCATGTTGTTTCCATCCAATCCCAACTCCAAAATCAGACCTTTCAAGTTCAGGCGTTGAATATTTCCGTTGTGTTTGTCGCGACGTCTTGCTTAGCATCATCATTTATGAACAGTCGAGGGGCTGCACTCAGAAGCTTGGGTTGCCGTTGATCTTAAGGCCGCTCACACCGTTGGCAATGCCTTCAGCATCAAGTCCATTCGTCGCGCCACTTTGGTAGTCGCGAGTAATCTCATCGAGCATACCAGCACTAGCAGCGACGAAACCCAAGTAGGGTCTGCTTGGGTCCAGGACGCGAGACAGATATTCCGGGTGGAACTGGACACCAACGAACCAGGGATGGTCCTTGATTTCAATAACCTCCATACGTACACCAGCTTCATCTTTGCCGACAAAGCTCAGACCGCCCTTCTCAAGCGTCTCAATGTAGTCAGGGTTGACCTCATATCGGTGACGGTGGCGCTCTAGAATTTCCTCCTTGCCGGCGTACAAAGCGCGGAGACGAGACCACTCGCTGCCTGGCTGGAAGAGTGTGGGACGGAGACCGAGACGCATGGATGCGCCCATAGTGCTCTTGTCTACCTCTGGCATGAACATGATGAGCTTGTTCTGCGCCTCGCCGTTGAACTCCTCGGAGGTTGCGTCCTTGATGCCGCAAACGTTACGAGCGTACTCAATAACGGCAATCTGCATGCCGAGGCAGATACCAAGGTACGGCTTCTTATGCTCACGCGCCCAGGTGGCCGCTGAAATCATACCTTCTGTGGCACGTTGACCGAAGCCACCCGGTACCAGGATACCCGATGCCTTGACGACCTCGTGCCAAGCGTTGTGGTACTTTGCGGGGTCTGTCTTCTGACACTTGGGCTCCAGATGGTCTGAGTCCACCCAGCGAATGTCCAGCTTCCTCTTGCACCGCATCGTAGCGTGTTCCAGCGATTTGATGACTGACAGGTATGAGTCTTGGAGCTCCACGTACTTTCCGACGAGTGCGATCGTGACCGGGTCGTGGAAACGAGTGTCGTGGCCGGTGAGCGACTGCCATTGCGCCCAGGTATGGTTGCCCTTTTGCAGCATTGACGCTGAGACTGAAACTTGCTCGAGAGCAAGGAATTGGCGTACCATCGGAATCAGTCTTTGTTGTTCGAGAAGCATCGGTACTTGGTAGATGGATGGCATGTCACGGACAACAAGGACTTGTTCGTTCTCGACCTGGCAAAAGTGGGCGATCTTCTCGACAGCGGAGGCTTCAAGTTCGCGCTCGCAGCGGCAGGCAATCTAGTACTGTCAGTCATCCAAAGTAACGGTTAACGTGAAAGGCTCGACATACCAAATCTGGGATCAGACCGTTACTCCTCACCGCCTTGATAGCCTGCTGCGTAGGCTTCGTCTTCTGCTCGCCGTGGATGACCGGGACATACGAGACGTGAATCTGCATGAAGTTGTTTCTGCCCGCACGCCTCCTCAGCTGGCTCATAGCCTCAATGAAGGGCATGCTCTCGATGTCGCCCACGGTTCCTCCCAGCTCGATTATGCAGACGTCCGGCTCCTCGCCTGAGTCATCGACGGGTATCCGCGAGACCTTCTCGATCCAATCTTGAATCGCATCGGTGATGTGTGGGACGACTTGTACGGTTTTACCCAGGTAGTCGCCCTTGCGCTCGCGTTCGATAACGTGCTGGTAGATCTTGCCAGTGGTGATGTTGTTGTCGCGGGTGAGGGTGATGTTGAGGTAGCGCTCGTAGTTGCCAAGATCGAGGTCGACTTCGCCGCCGTCGGAGAGGACGAATACTTCGCCATGCCTGGTTTTTTTTAGTCTATATTCACGGTACGGTTGGTGAAGCCTACTCCTTCGGGTTCATAGTTCCCGCATCGACATTGAGGTACGGGTCGACCTTGATCGACGAGACGTGCTGAGACGTCAGTATGTTTGGTAAAACGCGTCAGTCCGTTGCACTTATCTTGAGGCCGATTGTCTTGAGGAGAAGTCCTGTAGAGGAGGCTGCGACGCGTCAATCAGCTACAGCACGCAAAATAAGATCCTGACGTAGAAGATGATGTACAGTGGTGCACTTCGGCTACACACTGATAGCGATGGTCTCATAGAGGCTGGTATGCTCTCATGAAAGTCAAACTTCGCGTGGAGCGTCATAGACGCGCGACACTTCTGGCCCATGTCAAATAGCTTACCTATGATACCCTGTGTGTACGCGTTAGTGGTGATCAAAGGCGCGGCAACCTGCAGCTTACCTTCCCCACGCCGCTGATGACGCCGCCAGACACAAGCACGTACTTCATGATGCTGTTTGGTGCCTCAATCGGTTATGGGGAAGGAGAGGGAAGGAAGAAAAGTCGAGATTTCGCACGCGTTAACTTTGAAAGAAAATCGGCGCATGGACCCTCTAGCGGGGCAGATCCGCCCGCACTAGCGCCCTCTCGAGGCTTGAGGCTTCCAGCGACCATGATCCTGCAGCGAATCTTAATCCGAAGCTTCATTTCCTGAGAAAAACTGTCTCAAGCCCAGTGTCTTCTTATATTAACTTCAAATACGAGCTATCAAATGGTATCGTGCTCCTGTCCGTCGAATATCAAATGCATTACAATGTGACCGCCTCACCGAGTCTTCAGACCCCTCCTGTGTTGTATAAACGCCATGCAAACGTTCTCAACGCTGGCAACTTTGGAACTAAAATGAAACGTCCGAGGGGAATAGGGTTCGTTCATCATGTCGTCAAGATGCAAATCGGTATCTGCAAAAGATGCTCCAGATAACCCAAATAATAACCCACATCGCCCGCTGTAGATGATGCTCATGAAAATGTAGATGCCTGAGAGGTGTGGCGAGTTTGTCATTCTCTGCGCCGTCGCTTCAGCTCGTCCTCTTCCGTATTGTCGTGTTCTTGGCTCGCGGTGAGTCGTTTGCGTGCCAGTGCCTTTTCATTGCCCTTCTTCACTTGGATATTGCACCCTTGTAACTTCAATGCCCGGGTGAGCGCGCTGCTTGGTCGCATACCCGGAAAGTCTTTGGCTGTGTAGACTGTGAAGACATCGCTCAAGACCTCGGTGAGTATGGGCGAGAACCCTCCCACGTGGAGGTTCATAGGATCGATGCGCATGAGGACGAACCGGAGTCGGTACTTGCCATGTGTACGGCAAGAGAGGTCTGGAAAGCAGAAAAAGCAACCCTCGGCGTCATGCTCATCCTTTGCTACAGACGGAGAAGCTACGAGCTGGCCCATTAGTCGTCGCGTTGTTCGTCGGTCAGGCTGTATGAGTGCCGTCTCTTCGTTCGTCCCTTCTGCGTTCCAGAGCGTGCAATGAACCACGTTGAGCGAGTAACGAAGCTCTTCTTGTTCAGCAGCACCGGTCTTCGGATCCGTTACTAGTAGCTGGATGATTGGCGGAGGGTCAATCACCCTGCGGTCGCGTTCTCCGAACCCACATGCTCGCGCAGCGATGGGTTGTTGTCGCACACGAAGCTCGTAGTTTAGATTCCTATCTGTGTCAGTCAACGTTGACCTACCCAGGCGGGAGGTGTTCCTACAGTTGTTCGTTGTACACAGGCTGTGGTATCGAACCCGGCAACGGAATTGCTCGATGCTGTTTCTGGGGCGGAGGGGCTGTCGCAGGGGTCTCTGAATACGAAATAGATCCCAATGGCGCCGCTAGAGAGCCGCGATGTGATTGTGAGTGCTGATGGGAACCGACGGACCCGCGGAATGGAGTGCTACTTGATGCATAGCTTGGGGTATACCCAGGCGAGGGCAGTGGAGGGTAGGCTCTTTGCTGCGAGGCTTCTACTGGTGAAGTGAGAGATGAGTAGGGCTGCTCGTGGTGTTGGCTGTGGGGTTGGTTGGGGTGATAGTGGCGGGGCTCCTCGTACGGATACCGGTGTTCAGTTAGTCTTCGCGGCCCTCTGCTGTCAAACTCGGAACGTGGTGAGATGGGGGGACCATATTGCTGGGGAGAATATGGTGGGTCTGATCTAGGTGGGGTGTAAGGATTCGAGTGCTGCAGTAGCTTCTCGACGGGGGCTGCTGCTCTATGTAACGAGGACGGCTGAGGGTAGTCGTGTCGTGGGGGCAGTCCAGCATGGATCGAGGGCAGTTGATTGATGGGGGAGCGGAACTGGTGATCCGGGCGTGGTGGTACAGCGTCTGGCGGGATCTCCAGCGGGGGCAGTCGGCGATGGGAGTAGTCGAGAAAGCCAGGGGGCGAAAAGATGGGAAGTTTCTGGGTCTCGGTCATATCTGGAGCAGGACGAGAAGATGTTGTCAGAGGGAGCGACGGCGGCGGAGGTGGAGGTGGTTGGGACATGCGTGTATTATTATTTGGCCGGGCCAGGACACGATGCACGAAGCCGCATTGGGATGAGGGTTGTGTTCAGTTCGGAGGCTCTTTTCAAATTGGGAGCAACGGGTCGTGGTGCAGTGTTGGACAAGACGTCAGGAGTGGGAGCACTGCCTCGAGTGTGGCGGCGTGAGTAGTTTATAGTTGACGGTTCCCTGTAGTCAACCCTGTAGGTATCTGGATCGCCAGCAGCCAGATCGACGGTCGGATGCTTGGATTCAGCAATGGCGACGTTGAAGTGGAGGCGCTCAGACGCCTTAAAACAACGGGCGCCCGGGAAGGGGAAAGGATGCAGACGGGGGTGGGCCCGCAGCACCCTGTTCACTCGCAAGCCTCACGCCAACCGTCAAGAGTAGCCGGCTCGGAGCATAAATTTCAACAAGGACAGCGATAAGTGCAGCGATGGGAGGGCGGATCCGAGCTTGGCGGAGCGGTGCTAGTCCCCAGGTTTCTGACGTGGGCTGGGTGCAAGCGATATGAAGGCCGGGAGATGGGCACTGCTCGCAGGTGACGGAGTGGGGACATGTCATGGCCGACTGGCATGATCAAATGATGGTGATGGCGTCTGGCTGGTGCATGTGGCCTCAGCGGGCGCCATGCAGCAGGAAACTTTGGGAAGTCTAGCTCAGTGAACTGGCTTCGCAGTATTTTCGTGGGGCGTCCGTTGCAGGCTGGCGGCCGGGTAAAAGGTCGACAAACAACGGCGTCCCGGTTTCGCAGGCACGTCTGTTTCGAATCAAGGCGGGCCAGGGTGTTGCACACTGTAACCCGGCGGCAGCCAATATGGAGCAATATGCCAGATATCACGTAACTCGGTCGGTGGGCGCTGGCGGGCGACGCTTTCGGCGAGGGTCCAGATGGAGGTCAGGAGTGGCTGCAGCGCGAACCTGGGAACGGCCTGGAGGCCCATCTGTCAGCGGGCGCGGCGAATGGCGAGGCTGCAGCGGTGCGGCTAAAAGCGATCTGCCCTGCGACGCCTTTCTTGTCCGTCTCCGCGCACCCACTTGGGTTGGTGAACCCAGTCAGGACGGCTACCGGGCTTTTGGAAGACGGCTGCCGTCGCATGCGCCCATCCAGCAGTGACATGAGACAAAGCCTCCGCACCTGGCTATCGGACTCGATGGGCAACGGGCACGGCCGCTTATGTTGGTCGGTGGCTTGCGCTTGACCGCGGTGGGCGACGGTTGTCGTTAACAGCAGACAATTAAGACACGCAGTATGCTGCCAGTATCGCTGCCATGGCGGCGACACGAATCACGGCCCTTCGCTTGCGGCCCTGGAGAGAGTGGCAGCATATTGCAGTCATGGAAGGCACCCGTGGACAAACCCCATGACGCCCAAGTTGGACATGGGAGCAGTTGGACATGGGACGGCAGTTGTCGTCTATCTGTCTATCTGTCTACCACTCTACCACTACCAGACTACCACTACCACTCTATCACTGTCTCGCGTGGTCTACTCCACATCAGACGGCAGTCGACCGTTTAGAGTAACAGCTGGATTGTCTGAGTAACAGATTGCCCGAGTAACAACGTTGCAGCGGTCCTAGCGCCTCTCTTATTGCCTCGCTGCTCAGTCTGATATTGCGCCCGCACGGCGTACCTGCGTGTGTGCGCGCGCCCTAGGCTAGCCGCCTCCGCCGTGTGCTACCTCAGGCGGACGCATGTCTACTTTGACACACTCGTCCTCTGCTACCCCTCACCACCCATCGCGACGACGCTGCCCTCGGTGAGCGAGTCCGCCAATTGCTCTCCCTGGCACGTGTCGCAGCCAATCGTCCGCCCGGGCACCTGCCGTCTCTGCCCTCTACTCTACGCGACCACCCAACCGCCGCCCACGCCTCCCTCACCGCCCCGTCGTCTCCCACAGCTGCAACACTACTCTGCGCTGAATCACGTCGCCACTCCAGGGCTCGATCGACACGCTGCCCGCATGGCTGCTCACTTCGGCAACTACGTGGGTACGTGCGAGGCCACCTCACCCAGACGGGCTGTGGGCGTTCTGACGTGCCCTCTACCGTGGCTCAAAGCGGCCTCTGCTCGGCAATTGCTGCCCTGCCTCGATTCGTGCTGACGGCCTGCAGACTATAGTGGGGCCAAGCCTCCTGCCTCAGCGACTCACGTTCGCGACCCACGTCTGCACATCCTGGCGGCGACGATTCCGGAGATCTTCGCCAACAAGCACATTCTCGACATCGGCTGCAATGCTGGCAGCGTTTCGATCCAACTAGGTAAGTCCAGGAAGGATACCCCTGCCACTTGCTGCAACCGACTATTACCACCATCGACTCGATATTGATCAACTGCAGCCCTCGATTTCCACGCGGCTGCCGTCACTGGCGTCGATATCGATCCCAAGCTGATTGCCCAGGCCGAGAAGCTCCTGGCCTTGCGCGCTTCCCGTGCAACACCCCCCACGAGTTGCGACCCACCCGTCGTCGACTACTTTCCCATGTCGGCCGTGCTCACTCATGGCTACCGGATTGAACCGCACCGCAAGCCTGTCCACACGTCTTCCGCTGCGTCAGCTGCCTGGCCGCGTGTAACCTTCTTTTCTGCAGATTGGGTCCTGCCCTCTGACCAAGATGCTACCGACTCATACCATGTCATCCTGGCATTATCCGTCATTAAATGGATCCACCTCGAACATCGAGACGCTGGTCTGACGACGTTTTTCGCAAAGTGCTCATCGTCTTTGAAACCGGGCGGCTACCTAGTCATCGAGCTCCAGACCTGGGACTCATATCAAAAGGCCATTCGCCCCAATCATGCTCCGCATTTCCAAGAGACCCTCAAGGAGCTGCAACTACGGCCAGAGACATCGTTTGACAGTCTCCTTGCCAATCACGGTCTGCACCTCTGCGCTTCGTCGGACGCACTCCCTCGTCGCATCAATGTCTATCAAAAGGCCTAAGAGCGGTTGGTAGACATATTGGTAGGGATTGACACTCTTCCACTAGCATCACGTTTCATGGCGTTCGGGTCCCAGTCTCTAGTATCGGGATTTACCATCTCGTCTCGCTCGGGAGACGTTGCAAGTCATCCATGGCATTATTCACGTTGACTAATCTCTACACTCGTGCCGCTGCAGCATCTACCGTATCTGGCTCTCATATTCTATTAATCAAAGTACACATGTTAGATTGAACTCGCTATCCAGGCAAGTAGAAAAGTATCCCAATCCGCGGCTAGTTACTACAAACGGCTGGTCTGCGCTCCACTTTCTTGGTCTTCTCTCCGAGGCTGTTCCCTGTCCGCCGATCTTTGGCCCTCACCATCCCAGGTTCTATCAAGCCATGCATCGTACGATTGCGGCAGCTATGCAAGTAAAGATCGGCCGAATAACAGGCTTTTCAAACTTCCGGCCTCGATGTCCGCCTCAGTAGTGAGGCATGCAGCTACAACCTAATTGTGATTGCAGCCATGGCTCCGCAAACGTCTCTGGCGGGCCACGGTAGAGTAGTGAGGTTGCGACATTTGCATTAGCCGCGTTACTACACAACCCGCCACGCTAGCCAATGGCGGCTCGGAAGCTTTTCGGCTTATGCCGGGTACCCATCCTCTGGTTCTCCAGACATTAGATCACATGTCGTCCACTAATGCAAACCTTATTCCACTCCGGATCTCGTGCAGGCCGAGGTTTTCTGCTTATGCTGTTCAATAGTATATCTACTACCAGCCGTGCTATCCTCCTCGTAACGTCATCTCAGATGGCCGGCTCTAGATGTTTCGACAATTGATGATCGCTCACCGGTCCGTACATTGTGACAAAGTCTAGATGACAGGAGCGTAGGTTCGCCGACTCCATGGCAACATGGTTTAACCTAGCCGCCACTGACCGCTTATGAGCTGTCACAGAACGTGAAATTGCCAAACTCTCGTTGACAATATGACTGCTGATGCTGTGAAAGATGAGATATGACGTTGCATTTCCGTCAGAGAGCACCAATTCCCCGTCTGTACCATCTCAAACAGGTAAATCCCTCTAATTTCACGCTTTGGTCCCTGAAGCCTTGAGGACGGCGCAAAGGTTCGAGCGCTTGGTTTCCCTCATCAGCCGTAGATTCACCTTAGCTCGCACCTTGCGAACCACGTCGACTGTTGAGGAGCTCTCTGGGAGATTATGCCACACCAAGTACAAAGCTTGATGGAGTGGCTGAGTTACCTCTGGACCGGTGCTGCACGATGCCTTGCCCGCTGGATGCCATCTCATCAACATCTCGTTCGAGAACCAGGGACAGGCCGTATGCTTTGAAAATTGAGTTACTGGGTCCCGGTTGATGCGAGCTGGCGACTCGGTTGTCGATCCGTCAGAGCGGTAGGCTCATTTGACATAGTCTACAGATCTTGAGAGGTGCTCAATCTCGCAGGTGAAGTCGGCCCTCACGAAAACCCAATGCATTAGCTGGAACACAGCCAAGTCGTTATTCTGTTTTTACCGCATCTACATGGCTGCACAGCTTCGGTAGCTTGGTTTCTCGGAAAGCCGTGCCATGGAACGCCAGTGCAGTATCTGGCCAGTGTACCGTCCACTGCGGCGATTCAAGCAGACATGATCTTGTCGTTGGTGTGGGAACAAGTCCGATGATGCGCTCCCCTGCAGACCAGGCAGACTTGCGACTACTGTTGTCAGCAAGCATACGCCTATCGGGATGCAGCATCACTGCCTGCTTGGTCGCACGACAGCCAATACACTCACCGATGGATGCATCGGCAGTTTGTCTCTAGCCGAGAGGGTGAATCACAGTATATACTGTCATGTCGTGCGTGAAAGCGTCGACTCTGCTAGCCAATGACGATGCGATGCTGCCATCGTGAACGGTGTCGAAATTTGCGATCAACAGTTCGTCCAATATCTACAGCGTCAAAACGATATGCAGTTGCGCATGGAAGATTGACCACTAACGGGAACGCCCTGCGTAGGTATACAAGGAGGACGACCGAGGGATGTCGACTAAACGGGGCGGCCATTGATGGACAACGCATCCACGGATAGCTGCTTCGTGGACACACCACATACCGCACAGCAGCGCATTGCACAAGTGATGCTGTCCAAGAACATGTCGTGAGCTGGCTCGAGTGACAACAAAGCTCCTGCACCCTGCGCTTATCTCCTCGATGCGATCCGCCGACAACGAGATGGAGTTGCAGGATATCGATGACGTTGAAGAGTCGCCATTGAGGTGCAGCATGTCGAGCAAGGCGTACTGCTGTCAGTCGTCATCACAACTTCTGATGTCGTTTCAATTTCCACGCCCGTTGCTGTTGTCATGTGTCGCCGTTCGCTCTTGCCGTCTTCGGAGCACGTCTCGCAGCTGCCTCGATTACGTAGGCCAGACAAGCCCAATGACAGCGAGGGTTCGTGCAGTTACCAGGGGCCATGCAGAACATAGTTCCTGTCGTGGAACCCTCCAGCACATCGCTCTTGCCTTGCCACGAACACTTGCATTCTGCCCCCGATACACGAAATCCACGTCGGCTAGTATTCTGGAGGAATGCGCTGCAGGGAGCTCGAAACGACCGTTGCCCGCGTCGCGTCGACGTGTTCAGACGAGAGCTTTTCGATGCTCCAGGTCGGCGGTGCGCGGGCTTGAGAAATAGCTTTTGGCCACCTCACCTTGCCGCATCGGAGACTTTTGTACCTTCAACAAATGCTCTTTCTCTCCTCCCCTGGGCCTCGCAGGGACCGACGCAAGACGATGCTAGCGACAGGTTGATCCCCGCCTCTGGAATGCGATGGCAATGATGTGTAGCTGCTGGAGCGTCTGCAGTGGCGGCACCTCCCAGCTTGGATGGACGTCCACTTGCAACTAGGCGGGAAGCCAAGCACTGCACCAGTCGGGCTATATAACCATCAAGCAGCGTCGAGGTAGGTCTCACGCGAGACCTGTCGTCACTCCTGACCTGTGTACCGGCCCATGATTCAAGCAGCATAGCTTGCGCCGGAACTCCAGGCTGAGCCGAACAAAAACAACCATCTTCTTCCCTCAGCAGCGCCAGCGAGGTAAGCTCCAGAACCGCGCGTAGCATCAATGCGTCAGCACGTGTCCTGTTCACACCACAGCTGGGGGAGGCGTAAACGAGCGGGCGTCGTATACGGCGCTTAGGGGCATGAAACGGTTTGGTGCTGACCGTGCGATAGGCTTCCTTGACGAGTCTCGCGCGGGCGCTTCTCACGATCCCTCATGCAGATCTCTGGCTATTTGACATCCTGCCGAAGTCAGACGTAAGCTGGATCCTTGCTTTTGCCAAAGCGAATGACCATCCGAGCTTGGTCACACAGAGCTAGACAACACTCAACACGATTCGGCATCTTGCCGGAGCTACGGGATCCACCACCTATACATACGCCATCAAAACCACTCGTAGAACAGAGCAGAGCCACGCCGAGCGCTCATCTCCGCCGACCGACCGCGAGCGCATCGAGCGCATCACCGACGATATGCCACCCGCGAGCGACTCCTTCATGCCCCTCAACATTGAAGACGACGTCGTACCAGAATGGCTGGATTCCTTTACTCTGGTTGCGCCCCCAAACACCGATCTATGGAGAAGGCCATCTTCGGGCGACATCTCAACCGCTCCCATGCTCTACACTGCCTTGAGCAATCCCTTCATCGTAGCAGAAGTCACGGTCAAGGGAGACTGGCAGCTTGAATGGGATCAAGGAGGGCTGGTAATATTCGCAGGCGCACCACCGGGACAGACAGCGACGGCATCAACAACCGCAAGGCCGACATTAGAGGTCCCAAATGTTGCAAACATCCGGTTGGACGACAGCGCGACGCCGAGCTCCGCCATCTCTCTCTCGCAAACCTCAAGTAATGAGAATGTTGAAAGCTGCGGCACGACAGCCTCACACAGCCCAACAGACGAGTCAGGACCCAGCCCCCAACTAGAACGTGGGCCGCCACCACCATACGACGCTCCTGCGCCAGCACCCAAGTGGGTGAAAGTCGGGCTTGAGTTCTGCGGCAACGTATGCCACGCTACAGCTGTAGCCGCCAATAGTGAAGGTGCCGATTGGTCTTTGAGTTCGCTTCCTCCGCTTCAACAACGGCTCAAGGAACTGCGCGTCAAGATGGAGCGCATCGGCTACGCGCTGTGGGTGTCGTACGAGGAAGAACCGGGGATTTGGAGGAAATTGAGAGAAGTCACTTGGTTCTTCTGGGGTGTAGAAGACAAGGCCGTACGCGTTGGCGTCTACGCGAGTCGACCTGCAAACTTTGGCATCACCATGTGGGATCACAGACACCGTGTGGGACTCAGCAACGAACAGCGAAATTTATACGTCGAATTTGAAGATCTGGAGATCCACTAACCAGGCACGTCGCCCTGTTTATTTCTGTCGGTCTATCATTGCATGCAGCGGCTGTTCGTGCAGCCCAGGATCACGAGCAGATGCTCTCTTTGCTTCACACATCCCTATCATGTCTACATCTCTAATCGTCTCTTCGACCCCTACTTCGTAATCAGTTTTGAGTTTCGGTTCTATGTACCTATTCGCTTTTCGCCGTTCGCGGCGTTGCCTCGGCGCTTGCCACCATCTTCAGCTCATCGCAGCGTCGCATCCATCTGTGGCGACAATACCTGCACTGCAACTTCTCGCATACATATAGGGCTCATCTTACTGTAATCGCCTCTTTTTCTCACGGATGACAGATCGCGACGAGCGCAGATCTGTAATCCGTTCTCGGGTCTGTCATCACATTCCAGTTTTGCTTGCCATCTAGCATCTATCTATTTACATAATAACACAATTATTTGGTACCCGTTTCTACACGCTCTAACGCAGGGTTCTCATTTCAACCTAGACCTCGCGTAAGAACGTGAGTCGGATGCGCGTTGCATGTGGAATGGTGATGATCGGTACTCATGCGGAGCTGGCGCGTTTGGTATCGCGTCTTCACGCCGCCCCGGTGCCCTTCACAGACGATGTACAAGCAGCACACTGAAGTCCCAACGAATGGGAGGAGTCACAGTCTTGGTTGATTCAAGTACTTGAATGACGGCCCAAACGATGCGTGCAAACGACAAAGCTGGTGTTGAATCTCACAACTTTGAGAGACATGCTACTTCCACGACGAGTACCAGGGACTTACGGATACTATCCATGGCCAATCCCCACTGAGTGTTCACGGAGAATAAACCTAAGTTTTCTGGTCGCTTTGAGGAGCTACCTACTCGATCCTTCCCGGTTGGCTGGTCTTCCACCCAGAACCCCGTACTAGGGAATAACGATGTTGCTTGTCTATATTCTGTTGGGCCTTGTGTATCATGCAGCTTGTGGATACGGCCATACCATGAAGGGTCGTCAGGCAGAGTATACTATGACCAACGACGCTCACGGGAGCTACACCACAGCATCGTTGGTAGAAAGAACGACTTCCTTCCCTACATCATCATCCAATGCAGCCAGCACTCAGATATCTAGCCTTCAGCCATCTCAGTCCGTACTACCGGCCAGTGTGCCCCCCACAGTTGCCTGCTGGGCGACACCGTACTGCGATTCTATCCTCGTGGACTTTGCGCACTGCTACAACATCTCTGGAACGCTGAAAAGTCCCAACGGCGACGATGGACGAAGCGAAGTTTACCAGCGTTGTCTCTGCAACGATCGAGGAACTGTGTACAAAGAGTAAGCGTCCCTCGAACCACCTCCGTCTCCGGCTTCCTCTAACCGAACAAACAGCATCCTCACGAACTACCAAGCGCAAAACACAGACAACGTAACGCAGTGCTACGCATGCATGAAGCAAGCCGGCATCGAAGTAGACAAGAACAGCGAACCCAGCCTACAAATGCGGTACAAGATCCATAATTTCTGCAACACCGCAGTGCCGAACCTATACGATTTACTCGCTCTCTTCCTCGTCTGGCTCAAGTCCACCGACGAGCCCGTAGACAATAACACCGAGCTGGGCAACATACCCTCGATATCTACCTTAGCCGATCGCTTCACAAAGACAGATGTAAATCAAGCTACTACAACGGTAGCCAGCTCGGCTCAGAACACAGAGACGTCATGGCTTGGGAGTACGCTTACTGCTGGATATGCGATACCGACGCAGTACTTACAGCAACTACCGAAGCACTGGCCGTATACAAGCTACGGCGCGGCAAGAAAGGCAGGCCAGACTACCTCGTTCCCGTTGACAGACCCCAATTCGACAAGTCAAACGGTGGCATGGCTGTTCCATGAGATGCTGTGGAATCCACGACCGCTTTTCACTCCGCCGTCAGCGAGAGGAGGGGTGTATGAACCAGGGCTTGCGGACTGGACACCAGTGTTCAGGAACGGTGATGCCCTGACTGCTATCGCTTCTACTTCCGCCGCACCCGTCATCTCAACGACGAGCGTTGAGTCGAGCACTTCGGATCCCACAGCGACGGCAGCATCAGAAGGGACGATGACGCTGGGTACTCCCACGACTTTGACTACGCTGTTTTCATCTACGACGACCGCTGTTCTTACAACGTCCGTCGTCGTGTCCACGTCCATGTTGATAGCCTCCTCTGTTGCGATTCTAACAACAACGACAACAACATCACCGCCAACGTCTTCGTCTCCCCCATCTTCTTCTTCTTCTTCACTTACCTCACAGGCGCTCGTTCCTAATCGTCCAGAGTACACACAATACCCTGTTCTGAGCAAACCACACGATGCGAGAGACGTCACGACTGCGTCATCTCGAAAGGCACTTGTAGATGCCATGGCTGGGCCTAGGCAGGAAACTGGGGACGAGGAGTCAATTGAGCAGTTGTGGGGTGAGATAAGAAGAGTCAAGACAGAGATGAATCGCTGATACTCGATCGCGAGAAGGCAACAGAGGGGAAGATGTAACAAACAAACCAATATAAAGGCTATTCGTGTCATAATTACGTATTAACTATCTGTTCTACTTATGATACCACCTCCCAAAATGAAGGGGTTTTTCTAGACACGCTTTATACCGAAAACGCCAACCCATGCCCCTATATACAAGTCCTGTAATGAGACTCCATGAAGCGTATATACATAATGCCGTCTACTTCTTCTTCTTGGCCTTCGGCTTCACTACCTCTTCACCTCCGCAACAAGGTACGGCCCAATGACGCAAATAGCGGTCCAGACCACCATCGCACTCTCAACTAGAATCGTGTACGGCGTCTTCCAGATAGGCACCTCCTGCAACCTGACGTAAATCGCGTAAAACGCGACATAGAAGAAGTGGTAGACAAGCATCCACGGACGCGTGATCAGTCCCGCAAGCATACCACAGGGTTCACTGACGCTCTTTCCGCCGCGCAGAAAGTACTTGAAACAACCCTTCTTGATCAGCTCGAGGTACTGGTTGTTGGCGGCGAAGAGGCTGTACAGCGCCATGGCCAGAATGTTGATGACGGATGACCCGTCCTTGCGCTTCCAGTGGAAGGTTGACATGGCGGCGAGGACGGCAGAGGTGTCTTCGAGTGTGGGTACGTTGGCGGGGGAAAGCAGGTTGGATAGTAGGACGACGTCGTTGAACGCGACTGTCATGCCGCCGCCGGTCAGGGGATGGCGCATGTTCATTGAATCGCCGAGGAAGATGAGGCCGGCTTGTTTCTGCGTCGTAGGGGGTAGGAAGCTGTTGGGCATGGAGCGCAGTTTACCCGCTTCGATTGCTTTGCGGAAGGCGGGCTGGACACATGTGGGGAGTTGGGGCAGCGCCACATTGAGCATGTGGTTCTTGACACCCCCGTTCTTGGGGCTCGCCGAAGGCAGGTCCGCGGGTATGTCGACAAGAATGCGCGTCTCGTGTGTGCCGATTTGGTAGATGAGGATGGGGGGTGCGTCGGCGAGGATGACGTGGCCGTGGTTGGGCATGGGCAGCTCGGCGTCGATCATCTCGAGGCCCCAGAATTTACTGCGCACTTCGGGTTGGTTGGGGATGTATTCTTTGCGGAACTTGGAGGCGTAGCCGTCGGCTACGAGGGTCACGGCGCCAAAGTAGTAGTCTTGCTCCCCGGCGGTTTGACATGATACGCCGACGACTTGGCCGGTGTAGTCGCTCTTGACGACGGATGTGACGGTGGTCTCGACGACGGTGACGTTGGGTGTGGACTGGGCCTTTGCTCGCAGCTTGGAGATGAAGCGGCCGTGGTGGAAGGAGCGTCCTTCGGGTGCTCTCGAGGGCCCGGAGGTGATGAGGTTGTCGGGGTAGGGAATGTGGACCTCCTCTTTGCCGTAGAAGATCTGGTAGCCGTGGCAGGGTATCGCATCGATGTCGTCGAGGCAATCTGGGGCTTGCTGTCAGCGTTTCACCCTAGACGTGTGCTAGGAATGATTCAACGTACCCCTCATGCCCAGCTTCTCCAGAGCATTGACACCACCGGGCTGTAGCAGCTCTCCTACAATCCTGTCCGGCTCCTTCAAGCTCTTCTCCAGCAGTATGACGCTTCGGCCCTGCTTGCCGAATGCGACAGCAGCTGCGCACCCCACGATGCCCGCGCCGATGATGACGACATCGGCTTCATGGTGCACGCGCCGCCTCTCTTCGCGGGAATCGCATGTGTGTGTGGGTTCGATGGTAGGGACGGATTGGGTCGATGTGCCTCTGTGTCGCAGCTGGGGGGACGGCGAGGCAGAAACTCCAGGCGGGAGCTCCGCAAGCTTGGAACCGGAGTACATTGTGAGCATGGTTGCGGTTGCTGGGATCTGTTGAAAGACCCTGTTGAGTAAAAGGTAAAGCTGATTGCGCAGAGGAAGGTGCGTTCCAAACTCAGTGGGGCGGGTGAGGCGCCGCGATAAATACTGGGCGATGTGCAGCGTGGAGAAGGAGCGTGTGTGTGTGGAGAGTCAATCAGCCTCGTCGAAACGTCACACGGGCGGCGCGAGGGTAGAAATAAACTTCGCGGAACGTCAGGTCTCGTGCAGATCAAGGGTCCGGCATGCAACCGCGTCGTCGTGAGAACGAATCCGAGTGGCGACCTCACGATCTTAAGCCGCGAGATTGATTGCAGGGATCGCGCTCACCGCCATGGCCCTTTCTGCCAGGGGTATCACTCCCGCCTGGGCGATGTGGTGTGAAGATCATCTCATCTTGTCGGAATCCGATCTTGCTCGGCTTTTCCTCGAACCATGTCTGGCCCTCGGGCGGGTCTTCGGTCTCCGGAAGGTGTATGTGTTGTTCGTGAAGGGCGATTGTAGGGTGGGTCGGCAAAGACATGCACCTGCATAGCATTCACGCGTTGGCTACCAGGCACCCGCATCAAACTTAGAATCGTCGCAGGCACACCACAGCGACAAGTAGTCGATGCAAATCTCCTCTCTATGTGGTATATACGTTTCGCACAAACTCTATACATTGAGAATCCAGAAAGCAACTCTGCCGAGCTGAGTATATTCAAAGCGCTGCACAAATGGCGCCGCGTACGCTACGGTAGTTAATAGAAATTACAAATAAAGCCAGTACATGGTGTGATGTAGGTATATAGTGATAATGAAGCAAGCATGCGTCTCGTCGTGGTGAACCTTCCGCCTTTTTGCCTTTGCCCACCCAAGTCCGATTAATCCCCGGATCGTGCAAGCCATTGTGTCGTCAATGTGTGCCAGATAATCCGCCCAAACGAAGAAAATTTAGGAACGAAGAGCCCCAAAGAATGTGCCAGTACGCCTTCAAGGCCCAAGGAAACGTCTCGCCAATAAGGGGCCTCCGCAATGCGTAAGAATTGGAAGGGACGACCGGTGGAAGTTGTATGTACATATGTACGAATATACACAAGATCATGAGTACGTCTTGATGTGTTGCTGAAGCTTGGCGGTATTGCTATCCAAGGCGTCTAGAAGGCAGAGCCGGGGCGCTGGCTCGAGGGGGGGAACATCGGCGATGCCATCGGGGTATCGACTTCCATGATGGTGGATTGCCGGTCAGCGAATTGTGTCTTGCCGTCGGAAGGCTGGGCTGGGCCAAGGTGCGAGTTGCGGTAGTATGCCTCGTAAAACTCGCTGAGTCGAGCATCCTGCCCCTGTTGACCCGGTGCAAGCAGGTTGCTTGACTGGGGACGGCGCTCCGTCTCGTCGTCAGTAGACGCAAGGATCGATGTGTGGCCGGATTCGACTGTTGAGGCGGCAGAGGCTGAACGGCCCGCCTTTTGCTTTTGCAAAACCTGAGTATGCGAGTCCTTCTTTTGCGCTGCCTCCTGATATGCTTGGTATGCTTGGAAAGTGCTTAGCCGGTTGCCACTGCTGTAGATGCTGCTCGCGTCGCTTCCGTCTCGTTCATGGTGTGGCGAGTAAGTTCGTGCCTGTAGTTGGGGTTGGAGAGCGGGTGACGAAGGTTCAGAGTCTTGGAAGAAAGTTAGGGATGGCCCGATATATATCTACTAAATGCTAAAAGTACAACAGACAACGCACCAGGAAATCGCGTTACCTACTCGGCTCGTGGACCTGCACGCGAGGGTAGTCGTACTCGGGCGATGGAGAGCGGGACTCCTTCCGCAAAGCATGGCCAGGGATAGATGGCAACTTGGCTGTGGGTGGGTTGTGGGGCGAAAGCGGTGTTGGTGATTGACCAGGCGAGTTGTGGTAGGATCCTTGCTGTGACTTGATGGCATTCGCATCTCCGGAGTGGTGCGATACCATGAGAGCTGGCGCGTATTGCTGACGGTTCAAATCGGCTGGTGACATGGACCGGGGAGATGTGAAACCGTCGCTGTCGCTGTCGGAGCCACCAAAGTCAGGAGAGGTGGTACTACGCGGGTGACCGGGCGAAGGAGGAACTTGAAGAGACATGTCGACAGCGCCGTTGTGGTTGCGTCTTCCACTGAGCTCGGCCTCAGATGGGCGGAGCTTCATGGTAGGCGGCGAAGCTCGTCGTGTGGATGGTTCTTTGGTGGCGTTGAGGTTCAGGCTGAGCATGCTGTTGTTGTTGGACTGTCCCTTCATGAGCGGCGAGTTGACGCTTCCTCCGACCAAGGTGCTGGTGCTCATTGTTGGATTATCGCCCATGACAGATCCTGCTCTTGAGGTGGGTCGCGACTGGGCGACTCCGGCGTAGAATCCGGCCTCGATGGCGCGGATACCAAACAGATCACCCTCATCCTTCTCGCGTTGGTTCAGTTCAACAGTGTCCTCCTTGGGTCCAGCCTCTAGCTCGGTTTGCTTCGCGTTCTTCAACCTTGCTATCGTTAGTTCACGTCAAGATGGTGTCAATATTGATACTTACTTCTGACGGTTGTATA